ATGTGTAGCCAACAAAAGCACTTTCGTATGACGGTCACATCACGTACATCAAATCCTTGTGACTTTGCTGCAGGGGAATAAAGACACGAGAGACTGAGTTTACTTTCTATTGTGTCGCCTGAACAAAAAGCTCTTGTGAAAAGGATCAGGGTCCAGTCTGACCACCTCTTCCTCTAGTGAGGAGGAAACTTTGATATGTAGAGCAAGACACTTAACCCTTCGTTGCTACAGAGGCGTCAACCTCTGACATGTATAGCAATTGTAAGTCTCTTTGGATGAAAGCGTCAGCTAAATGAATAAATGAAAGCAGAAAGTCAAATGTTAACAATAATATATATACAGTGGGGCCAAAAAGTATTTAGTCAGCCACTGATTGTGCAAGTTCTCCTACTTAGAAAGATGAGAGAGGTCTGTAATTTTCATCATAGGTACACTTCAACTATGAGAGACAAAATGAGAAAGAAAAATCCAGGAAATCACATTGTAGGATTTTTAATGAATTTATTAGTAAATTATGGTGGAAAATAAGTATTTGGTCACCACAAACAAGCAAGATTTCTGGCTCCCACAGACCTGTAACTTCTCCTTTAAGAAGCTCTTCTGTCCTCCACTCGTTACCTTTATTAATGGCACCTGTTTGAACTCGTTATCTGTATAAAAGACACGTGTCCACAGCCTCAAACAGTCAGACTCCAAACTCAACCATGGCCGAGACCAAAGAGCTGTCGAAGGACACCAGGAAGAAAATGTAAGACGTACAAGACCATTGATAATCTCCCTCGATCTGGGGCTCCACGCAAGATCTCATCCCGTGGGGTCAAAATGATCATGAGAACGGTGAGCAAAAATCCCAGAACTACACGGAGGGACCTGATGAATGACCTGCAGAGAGCTGGGACCAAAGTAACAAAGGCTACCATCAGTAACACACTACGCCGAGAGGGACGCCAGGCGTGTCCCCCCTGTACATGTCCAGGCCCGTCTGAAGTTTGCCAGAGAGCATATGGATGATCCAGAAGAGGACTGGGAGAATATCATGTGGTCAGATGAAACCAAAATAGAGCTTTTTGGTTAAAAACTCAACTCGTCGTGTTTGGAGGAAGAAGAATGCAGAGTTGCATCACCATACCTACTGTGAAGCATGGGGGAGGAAACCTCATGCTTTGGGGCTGTTTTTCTGCAAAGGGGACAGGAAAACTGATCCGTGTTAAGGGAAGAATGAACGGGGCCATGTATCGTGAGATTTTAAGCCAAATCCTCCTCCCATCAGTGAGAGCGTTGAAGATGGAACGTGGCTGGGTCTTCCAGCATGACAATGATCCCAAACACGCCGCTCGGGCTCCGTTAAAAAGCATTTCAAGGTCCTGGAGTGGCCTAGCCAGTCTCCAGACCTCAACCCCATAGAAAAGCTGTGGAGGGAGTTGAAACTCCGTGTTGCCCAGCGACAGCCCCAAAACATCACTGCTCTAGAGGAGATCTGCAGGGAGGAATGGGCCAAAATACCAGCTACAGTGTGCAAACCTGCTGAAGACTTACAGGAAACATTGACCTTGAGTACTGACCAAATACTTATATTCCACCATAATTTACAAATAAATTCTTTAAAAATCCTACAATGTGATTTCCTGGAATTTTTTTTCTCCTCATTTTGTGTCTCATAGTTGAAGTGTACCTATGACAAAACAGACCTCATCTTTCTAAATGGGAGAACTTGCACAATCAGTGGCTGACAATACTTTTTTGTGTATCTATCAAAATCTCAAAATAAATCATACGTTGAAAATGTCATGCTTTTTTGACAAGCAGCACATCTATTAAAGTAACAATGTTTTTCCACTGGTTCTCAGTTTGAGGAAATACATTTTGTTGTAATATTTGGGAGTTTCTGTCTGATTTAGATCTCTCACGTTGTTACTGTTTGGAGCAGGTCTTTATTCTTTTGCTACTCTGGAATGAAGTTGGTTCAATATAAATAAAAGTAGCTCAGATGTAGTAAAGGACTTTTGCCATGTTGCTGTAGCTGAGCTTGCTACGTTTCTCCTGGTTGTAGCTTCAGTGTAGTGAAGCTTATTTAATGTAGAGTTAACTGGTAGCTTGGCTCACTACATTTTCCAAGTGGTTTGTCCAACACTGTAAACACTAGTGTTTTGTTAATTATAAATACAATTGTTAAATATTTAAAGCAGAGGTCACTAATAGGCGGACCGCCGACCTACAGCCCATTTATTATTGAGACTTACTACCTCGTGACGGAGCGTTTCTATTTTAACCCGCGCAGCTTTTCTAGCATTTACTGTACTGGTTTAGAGGACCAGGAAACTCACAGACCAATCGCATGTGCTCCAATCGTCTCATGTGACGCTGCTCAGCCAATCAAATCTGTGCATACCGATGCTTGCGAGTCGAGTCCGCGAGATTCACCAGAGACGTTTTGGAAACACACCCGAATTGAGGAGACGAAAGATAAAAGAGATTTCACATGACTTTTAATCAAGAATGTACAGATTTTTACATGTACATTCCTCCCACGGGCAGTTCAAAACCAGAATATCTCATAGATCTCCAATATGCGAGCTGGAGCTCACGTTTCTCACTGAACAACAGAAAGTAGGAAAGTGGTAGCTCTGTAAGAGGAAATGAAAGAGAAGAGGAGGCATTACAGCTGTTCATTTGTGTGTTTATTATAAAATTGGTTAAGACTACACTTCATCACTTCAAGCTACACTTTTTATTACATTTTTTCTAAAAATTAGGCACTTTAGTTTACTTAAATTTAGAATTTATTATTTGAATAGTTATTATTTATTATCCCTCCAGTTTGATGTGAAAACTGACTGAAATATTATTTGATTTGACAGTCCGTTGTTGACTAAAAACATGTGTTGATACAACTATAGGTTATAGTACTGAATGATAACGCAAGTTCGTCGTTTTGATGTTCCGGACCTTTGCTTCAGGAAATTTTCTCTAACTAGACCTCTTTGAAATCTAATTGAATACCCCTGATCTAAAGCAAAACAAATGCGCACATTTAGATGCATATAATTATTTGCTGCTGAGAGAAACACCTTCTCGGTGCCTTTATTCTCTGTTAACTTCATCATTTAGCCTCATCTGTCTCTGTGAAATACAGTCCTTTATTGATATGAAATTCCCAAGTCAGTTTTGTGCAAAATCACAAACTTGTCTCAAAGCTTTACAATCTGTACATCATGTGGCCTCTCTGTCCTCAGACCCTCTGTTTCTGACAGAAATTACTCAATACAAGTTGAATCTGATCTGAGAACAGTCTGGAAACAGTTTAGTTGTTCATGTGTGAATGCTGGTCAAACTGTTTATTTAGCGGGACAACATGCAGAGGACAATATTTGACATCCTGCTCTCATATTAGTTGTCTTCTTCTTCAGGTCCTTTTCTCAGACAGTGAAAGAATCCTGGAGACAGTTGACACAGATGAGTTTCAGCCTGTTTCTCTGTCACACTGACAAACTGAGGAACACTGCTTCATGTTGAACAGCAGTTAGGACTCATGTTGGATAGAAAATCACTCTGACTGTGTTTCTTCCTCCAGGGTGGACCATGGTGGAGAGCAGAGGTTAAAACCTGGTCTGAGGAAGTGTAAGTGTGGATTCAATCTGACTCATGATGACAAAACAGCACACAGTCAGTTTCTCTTAATACAAAGTTGATAGTTGTGTATTTATTCATTCAAACATTACTGACTAAATGCATCATCATTAAACTTTATAGAAATGAACAACATCAGCACACAAACAAAGAATAAACCTTCAGATGTGTCTGATGATAAACTGCTGCTGTGTTGTGTCTCGTTCTCTCCATCAGATTCTGTGAACTCACACTGGACACAAACACAGCACAGAAACCTCAAACTGTCTGACAACAACAGGAAGGTGACACATGTGACAGAGAAGCAGCCATATCCTGATCATCCAGAGAGATTTGACTTCTGGCCTCAGCTGTTGTGTAGAGATGGTCTGACTGGTCGCTGTTACTGGGAGGTCGAGTGGAGAGGAGGAGTTTATATATCAGTGAGTTACAGAGGAATCAGCAGGAGAGGAGACAGTAAAGACTGTGTGTTTGGATGAATGATCAGTCCTGGAGTCTGAGCTGCTCTGATGGTCGTTACTCTGTCTGGCACAATAAGAGAGAAACAGTCCTCCCTCTCTCCTCCTCCTCCTCCTCCTCCTCCTCTAACAGAGCAGCAGTGTATGTGGACTGTCCTGCTGGCTCTCTGTCCTTCTACAGAGTCTCCTCTGACACACTGATCCACCTCCACACCTTCAACACCACATTCACTGAACCTCTTTATCCTGGTTTAGTCTGTTCTATGGTTCCTCCTCAGTGTCTCTGTGTTCTGTGTAGGAGGGAGACAACTTCCAGTCCTGTGGTTTAAATGTTGGTGGTGGACGAGGCTTCACTTTGGTTAACATCTGGCTCACTGATTGTGCCTTTAATGTCAGAAATGTGTTTTCTTAGAAATGGTGAAATGATCTCAGGGCTGAACTTGTTGTGTACAAACTGTGTTGACTCTGATTTTCACTTTAATAAAGTTTTCTTGGAGCAGCATCTAGTAGCTGCTGATGGCTGCAGAGCTTCTCATTTATTTCAATAAAGGTTTGAAAACAAAAACTCAACAAATAGTCTTGATTTATTCTGTTGCTCAAGTACATTTCTTTTCCTGCTGAGTTTGATCCTCACAAAGGCTAAATCAAAAGATAAGTCAGGCAGGAAGGAAGTGAAGCCTTGAAGGTTTATTATTATTATCTGAAAAATAGAGATATATATAATAGGATTTAGTTTTTTCTCTCAATATTATTTTAATTATTTTATGAAATGAAGTAGTGTCAACAAACATAGTTCATGCAACATACTCCGGTACAGTAGGTGGCGTATGCACCTTTAAAAGTCATGGCTGCAATCTGCCATAAAAGAAGAAGAAAAACACACTCCCAAAGGTGGAACCAAAGTTACCAGCAGTTGTACCACACGGAGGTATTTCAGCAGGAGCCGGAAGTGAGTTAAAGTTGTGGCAACGCGCGGAATAGCTGAAGTTCTGAGTTAATTTAGTATTTGTGGAAGATTTGTGAGTTTATTCAGGTAAACATGGCGTCTAAACGTAAATGTGACGCCACGGTTCCTGCGGAGGAAAGTGACCAACTGCTCATCCGCCCGCTGTGAGTTCAAACACAACGTTTACCTGGTTTAGCCTCCGTGGCTGCTGCTCTCTCACCAAACTCCATTCAGAAAAACACCAATTTAGTAGATCTTCCTTTTATCAACAAAGGCCAAAGCTTTTTTAAACTTGCTATTTAAACTTAACTATTCATTAGAGGCAAGGCTTCATTTCGGCGCAGACCAAATGTACCAAACATTATTTATTTAAGAAGGTTTTCAACGTGGAAATCTAACCGCGAGACTTGACGTTAACTTCAACAACATTCATTAAAATCAGATGCTTATTGGTGGATTCTAGAAATTCTGAGTTAATAATTTAACTGATTAATTAAATGAAATAACTGGTATTTGGCTTGTTTTGGCCTTTGCTGACAAAGTGTTTTAAAAGTGCTTAATTTTTGAATGGAGTTCTGCTTGATGTTCCTCTGGGGGCAGATATGCATCAGCTGGTCCTTCTGTTATTATTGGTTCTGCTGGGTTTGATAGCTGAGTTTAGTTTGTTAACGGTTCTTGGGGGAAGAGTTTTGTCTTTAAGGCTGAAACATCTGGATGTCAGTTAGACATGAAAGTGATGCTGTCTCTGTGTGTTTGTGTCCAGAGGAGCAGGACAGGAGGTGGGACGGTCCTGCATCATCCTGGAGTTCAAGGGACCAAAGATTCTGGTCTGTTTTTAATCCCATCAGCTGCACGGTATTCAGCTTTCAGTCACCTCAGTGTGTAAAAACGTGTGTGTGTTGTGGTTCAGCTGGACTGCGGGATCCATCCTGGTCTGGACGGGATGGACGCTCTGCCGTACATCGACCTGATCGACCCGGCTGAAATTGACCTGCTGCTCATCAGCCAGTGAGTTCCCAACATTTATCAGCACAGCAACCAGAGAACACTTTAATATACACACACTCAGCTGCACTAGCAGGTGGACTTTAATGTCCAAGTGTGTTGTTTTCCCTTCTCTGTACAGACTCGACCTGTGTATGAAATGTGCTTTCTAATCAAACTGCTTTGCCTGACATGATGCTGAGAAATCAGACCAACATAAAGGTCAGGGCTGATGTGGACCTGGAAACTCCTCAGTAACTGTTGCCCTCCCTCTCAGCTTCCACCTGGATCACTGTGGAGCTCTGCCCTGGTTCCTGCAGAAGACCAGCTTTAAAGGACGCACCTTCATGACTCACGCCACCAAGGCCATCTACCGCTGGCTGCTGTCCGACTACGTCAAAGTCAGTAAGACCAGGACCCAGAGTCACATCAGACTCCCATACTACAGGGACCTGGACTCACCAGGACAGGATATGATGTACTGTGTTTAATATTCTTCTGTGTATACCATGTGGAGTATAACCTGCAGTACTTCAGCGTGTATAACCTGCAGTACTTCAGCGTGTATAACCTGCAGTACTTCAGCGTGTATAACCTGCAGTACTTCAGCGTGTATAACCTGCAGTACTTCAGTGTGTATAACCTGCAGTACTTCAGCGTGTATAACCTGCAGTACTTCAGCGTGTATAACCTGCAGTACTTCAGTGTGTATAACCTGCAGTACTTCAGCGTGTATAACCTGCAGTACTTCAGCGTGTATAACCTGCAGTAATTCAGCGTGTATAACCTGCAGTACTTCAGCGTGTATAACCTGCAGTACTTCAGCGTGTATAACCTGCAGTACTTCAGCGTGTATAACCTGCAGTACTTCAGCGTGTATAACCTGCAGTACTTCAGCGTGTGTAACCTGCAGTACTTCAGCGTGTATAACCTGCAGTACTTCAGCGTGTGTAACCTGCAGTACTTCAGCGTGTATAACCTGCAGTACTTCAGCGTGTATAACCTGCAGTACTTCAGCGTGTGTAACCTGCAGTACTTCAGCGTGTATAACCTGCAGTACTTCAGCGTGTGTTGTAGTAAAGCTGACCTGTTTTCTGCAGTAACATCTCTGCAGACGACATGTTGTACATGGAGACGGACCTGGAGGAGAGCATGGAGAAGATGGAGACCATCAACTTCCACAGTGCGGACGGTAACAAGTGGTGAACACAGCGGTGAGGTTCATTCAGATTTATTTAAATACGCTTTTTCCCACCACAATTTTGGCGTTGTCGGCTCGTCACACGCGCGAGAGGACTCGGACACTCGGAGCTGCAGGTGAAAAACCGTATGGCCAAAATACGGGTGAGACGTTGAGGGCCTGACGCCTGAGTGTCTGAGGCTCCCTCACCGCTGTGATCCACAAAGAACCTGGTGGCTGGCAACACTCTCTTTGTGGTGAGTAGACTGTTCAAGTGGAACGATTCTCGCTGCCTCTCAGGGTGAGCGTGACAGACGTGTCAGCAGGGCAGGCCTGGGGCCGCCGTGTGAATCGGCAAAGCTTTGTGTTAAAGGTACTATAGTCAAGAAATCACTGGGGGGCAGTGGATTTCTTATAGGTCTGGGACCTGCTGTTGCATCAGTTCTTTTGGGTCTGGGACCCACAGTAAAGTAGGGGTGTGTGAGTCATAGGACTCGCAATAAAATTGAAGAAAAACAATTTTATTTAAAATAATTTTTTATTATTATTTTACTTGGGGTTGCTGCTCCAGGTGATTACCAAGTAATTAGACAGTATTGTTGAATGCTGAATGTGTTCACTACAGATGTGTGAATGAAGTGCGACTGGGGAAAAAAAAACACTAACAGACCGTGTGAATGTTGAACAAAGGCTTTTTGTAAACGGGATAGGATTTCCTCAGACTACTAGCTTTGTTAACATTTAATAGAAACACGTAAGAATTTAGACATTATATAGATCTTGTGACAACCTAGAATTCACCAGGTTTCACCACCGTGGAAAACCCCGGAAACGCCCATTTTATAAATGAGCCACACTGATTCGTTGCCGGATGGCGCGACAATTAAACCTCCTCCTTTTTGTTTTGTTTGTGCCAGAGAAACTGAACCAGTTTTATTTATCTTTTTTTTTTGCCGCTTTACTTTGTGACTGTATTTTTGTGTGAAATCTTGAAATGCACCAATATTTTGTTTTGTACTAAGCTTTTGAGTTTGTGGTGTTTCTTTCTTTTATGGTCATTCAGTGTTTTTTTTGTTGATTTAAAGCTGGCTCTTCAGTCTCCACCGACCCTGGGTCTCCCCGACTGTAACACACATTTCACCCAGACTGTTGACGAAAAGGGGGGGTACATGACCTCAGTACCACTACAAGACCATGGGGGACGACTGAGACCTGGAGCTTATTTTTCATCCAAACTGGACTCTGTTGCAGCCAAACTGCCTGAGAGCTGTGGCGGGAAGAAATATTGTGTTGTCATGGTAGATATGTTCTCTAAAGGGGTAGAGGCATTTTCAACATCTAAACAGGATGCAGCAGCAGTTGCAAAAGCTTTGATAAGCCAGATCATCGCTGAGCGATCCTAGCTAAGATCTCCAGTGATAATGGCACACCTTTCGTTAGCGCAGCACTGAAGAGTGTAGGGGAGGATATGGGGATTGATCCGAGGCAACATTGTGCTCATCATCCAGCTAGCGGAGGTGCAGTTGAATAAGAAAATGGCACATTGAAAAACAAGCTTGTTAAATGCTGTGAAGAAACAGGTTTAACATGGACAAAAGCTTTGCCGATCATTTTAATGCACATGAGAAGCCGGATGAGGGGCAGAGGGGGTCTCAGTCCTTTTGAAGTCCTATTTGGCAGACCATTGAACACGGGGATTGGGCCAGTAAAAAGACAACTCCCTGATACCAGCCAATGTGAGGATGAAATGTTGAGATATTGTGCTAATTTGTCCTCTGTGCTTTCTGAAATTCATATGCAGGTCAAAAACACCATCCCGAAGGCCGCAGAGAAGAAACTGCACGATCTGGAGCCAGGGGACTGGATTGTGGGAAAGGACTTCAGGAGAAAGAGCTCGCAGGTGGACCGGGCCATTTCAGATACTGCTAACAACAGAAACAGCAGTAAAAGTGTCTGAAAGAGCAACTTGGATTCACGCCACCCACTGCAAACGAGTGCCAAAGCAACCAAAAGGCCTCAAACCAGGCGAAGATGGAGATCAGTGATTGAGCTGAGCTTTCCCCTGCCTTGTGTTCCTAGGGAGGGAGGGGAGTGGAGGTCTCTGAGACCACCTAGAACCACTAATCTCCCAAACACTCACCGCGGGCACACTGAAACCAACAGATGGCTCTGGAGAGGTGACGGACCGAGACAAAACGGAGGCGTTGTTCTGCTCACTGTCATCATTTCCAAACATGAAAACAACAAACTTGGCCTGACTGAGGGAAAGTTCCAGGCCGAAGAGGAGGAGATGCACGTCCTCCCTGACAGCCCGGCTGGGCTGAAAGACAATGCATGGTATGCAACCACGATGACCACTTCAAGAAAAGTAACCAATCAGAGCTGTTATGCGTGTGCACAGCTCCCTCATGGAGTGGGGAACTCCATACCAGTGAAACCCAGACCAATAAATGTTTCAGAGACACTAGGAGCCCTGTTAACCTTCACTCAAGGGTTTCCCAGGGTGGGCCGAGAAGTTAAGGATATGACCAAGACACTTAACTGTGTAACATCAGCATGGTCAACTTTAGGGTTAGGTTCAGGAACACGTCTCAGATAACCACCAGATGTACCTTGGACATGGGTGTCTTTCTATAGATCCAGATTGAGTGTCCCCTAGGGAACACTGAAAGACACCATGTTCCTTTGATGAGATAGGACTCCGACCCTGAGACTAAGATAAAAGCTGCATGACCTGTTACACTGCAGCTCACTCGGATGATACTCTCGGATGTGTATGTGTCCCCTTGAATTCCTTCTGCAGAAGACTTGAATAAAATTCACAGAAAGACAAGTGTTTGCTTTTTCCCACCACACCGTCTACATTAAATCGACTGAAAATGCACATCTAGTGGCCGTTCATGTACACTGGGCATGCACGTGCCAGTGTAAACTTGAAGCAGATGGCGATTTGGCGAAAGAATAAAGTACTACAGACGCTACAGGCTAAACATGACTGTCAGTCTCCCTCGGACCAGGGCTCCATGCAAGATCTCACCTCGTGGGGTCTCAGTGATCTTAAGAAAGGTGAGAAATCAGCCCAGAACTACACGGGAGGAGCTGGTCAATGACCTGAAAAGAGCTGGGACTACCGTTTCCAAGGTTACTGTTGGTAATACACTAAGACGTCATGGTTTGAAATCACGCATGGCACGGAAGGTTCCCCTGCTTAAACCAGCACATGTCAAGGCCCGTCTTCAGTTTGCCAGTGACCATTTGGATGATCCAGAGGAGTCATGGGAGAAAGTCATGTGGTCAGATGAGACCAAAATAGAACTTTTTGGTCATAATTCCACTAACTGTGTTTGGAGGAAGAAGAATGATGAGTACCATCCCAAGAACACCATCCCTACTGTGAAGCATGGGGGTGGTAGCATCATGCTTTGGGGGTGTTTTTCTGCACATGGGACAGGGCGACTGCACTGTATTAAGGAGAGGATGACCGGGGCCATGTATTGCCAGATTTTCCCTCAGTTAGAGCATTGAAGATGGGTCGAGGCCGGGTCTTCCAACATGACAATGACCCGAAGCACACAGCCAGGATAACCAAGGAGTGGCTCTGTAAGAAGCATATCAAGGTTCTGGCGTAGTCTAGCCAGTCTCCAGACCTAAACCCAATAGAGAATCTTTGGAGGGAGCTCAAACTCCGTGTTTCTCAGCGACAGCCCAGAAACCTGACTGATCTAGAGAAGATCTGTGTGGAGGAGTGGGCCAAAATCCCTCCTGCAGTGCAAACCTGGTGAAAAACTACAGGAAACGTTTGACCTCTGTAACTGCAAACAAAGGCTACTGTACCAAATATTAACATTGATTTTCTCAGGTGTTCAAATACTTATTTGCAGCTGTATCATACAAATAAATAGTTAAAAAATCATACATTGTGATTTCTGGATTTTTTTGTTTTAGATTATGTCTCTCACAGTGGACATGCACCTACGATGACAATTTCAGACCCCTCCATGATTTCTAAGTGGGAGAACTTGCAAAATAGCAGGGTGTTCAAATACTTATTTTTCTCACTGTACATATCAGCAACATCCCAAATCCTAATAATCTGTTACACTGTGGCACATTTCATCCTCATAGTGGCAAGAACTGAGAATCTGAACAATAAGCCAAAGCAAAAGAACACATTTGCATTTATTTGTCTTGAAAGCTGTTAAATAAAATTAGTATCACAATGTTTCCATCAACAGAGTTGCCCAACAGGTCCTTCACTTGATGTGGAAGCTGGCTGTTTATTTGAATCAGCCAAGCAGTTCTTGGAAGATGTTAACATCTAGCAAAGTGTTCTTCCTCCACAGCCTCCATCTCCAGGGATATTTCAGTGATGTTCTACTTTGTTTCCATCAGGTGAGTCTGGTTCTACTGCATCTGAAGAAAATCACATACAACTTGTGTAAGTTGTAAATTTAACTGTAAATCTGAAGTCGGCCTTTATTTGATGCAGGTGGCTCTAACCTGACTGGACTTCACACCACGTCTTCCTGCCGCTCTGAGTCTTCTGTCTGTGCTGCAGTGACGGCCTTCAAGTCTGAGACCTTCTTACACACCAGACCAGAGTCTAACTGATGGGAGAGACAAGATTAGGCTCAATATAGACCTCTTTCATGAAACCTGCAAATAATTAGATTTGATCAATATTTATTTTATTTAAAAGTAAATATACTTGCTGAAATTACCAAATATATTTCTGGTTTCTGGTTTCGTGTTGACAGAAAAAAAAGGCATCTACGTGTTCAGAAAAACAATACACACCTTCATTCTCTCATTCGCTCACCTAGACCAAGACCTTATGGTCTTTTCCTTTGTGAGACTGCCACAGAGAGCTCTAAAGTAAGAATATTCCACCAACTGTGTAGTGATAGAGTACATGTTGGTTTCCACCGTATCACCAGGATTTTCTTTGCAGCAGTTAGGCTGGAAAGCCAAATAGTTTTTTCATGCACATGTAACCCATGTTAATGTTACCTTAAAACCACTAAAAGGGAAAACAAATAAAAATGTGATGTAAGCAAGCAAATAAAATTAGGCATTAAATCAGTAATTTAATGAGTGCAGCAGTAACAGCCAATCAGAGTGACTCTAGCGCCGCTTGCTGGAGAGAGAGGAAAAACAGAGCGAGAGCAGTTGACCTTGAGAAGGAAACAACAGAGAAGTCTGAAACCGACCGAGATGAAAGAGTAAAAAACAAGTTTTGAAGACTGTAAAACCTAATTTCTTTTCCATTTTTGGAGGATTTTGTGTTGCTTTTAGTCCACATTGATGGATTCTGTTTTTGGATTTGCTGAGTGAAAACTACTATTTACAACATGTAAATTATGCATTTCCTTGTTTTCTTTCGAGCTGAATATAACGTTAAGCCTAAGTGCCAGTAGCTAAACTAAAAAAATGTGAATTATGTTGTGTATTTTGTGGTTTTATATGTGTAAAAGAATTGAAAAGCTACATGCATCAGGCACGGTCAAGTTTAGCCTGGTGAGAGAATGGAGACGAACACCGCCACCATTTTAGGGTGCGGTTCAGATTTAATTTAACGTTTAACCTGTGTTTAGGTGCTAGTCTTCCTCAGTTAATTTTGTTGAAGATATAAAAGACTGAAATGTGTGTATTTCCCTGTTGTAACAGGCCAGGTTTTTTTGTTGTGAGGAGCTGCTTGGTGTTTAAGCACGTGAAGCCGGGAAAGAAGATGGCGAACCACCCATAGAATAAACTGCGTCGGATACGGGTCTGTTCCACAAGACCAACCTGTACTCGCGGGATAAGGACACTGATTCGTTCACCTGAATCGTGGTAGGACTGAAACTTTATTATTTTGCTGCAGTGTGCTGTGAAGTTCATCTGGACTTTTAAAGGACTTAACAAAAGGACTAATTTAGAGTTGTGAGATTGAGTTGTTGATTATATGCTGATCTGTGAAGCAGTGTTTCACATTTGTATTTTGTGGTATTGTAATTTCCCTTATTTTGCCAAATTGGTGATGCAAAGTTTTTTTTGTTGCTGTAAACTAAAAAAACTTAACCCAAAAACTTATTGGTTAAGTGAAGTAAAGAGAAGGTAGAAACGAAAACTCTTAAAACAGGCCTTACTAAGATAAAATGAGAACTTAGAGCTTCTGACGCCAGTGTCTTTTTTCAGTTCATTGCAATGGGAGCGTCGCGTTTTTACGAGCTGATAAAAACTCCAGCAGCGTGACGAGGTGCTGAGCGTTTTTTTTTCGGTCGCCGAGAGTTGAAAAATGTTAAACTTTGGGAAAAATGCTGCGCTCGTTACTGTCACTTTTTACCCAGCCGTCCAATCACTGTGCAGGAAATACTACACCGTAGCAACGTTTACTATTCAGCATTTAAAGGTGGTACTCACCGAACCCGCATAGGGCGAGTCTGTCCATCACACCTTCTTCACTTTCCACAGCATATGAGACAAGTTATTATAACCGTGAAATAGGGGACGTTTTGTCAACAGGGCCTGTCTCTCTGTGTCTCTCTCACCTCTATTGTCTCTACAGGTTCATTAGGTTCAGTGCTGGAGCTCAGAGTTTTCTTCTCCCTGGATGGAGTCCAACATCAACAAATACTAATTTTAACATCATGAATTTCACAACACTAAAGTGAAGAAGTTTGAAGAATGAAAGACTGAACTGATGGATTCTGACTGTTTTACGTCGTCCACAGATTCAGGAGAAGCAGAGGAATCAGCATCAAGACCACCAGAGTCAACCTGATGATATTCATTATTATTGTTGAATTCCCTAGAAGTACAGAAAGACATGTGACATCACTCATTAGCAGGATTAGAGTAAGGATTAATAAATCACTTTGCCAGGTGATTCAATCTGTTAATCAGTCAGTCAGAGGTTTCTCACTGAACGTAGCTACAGAAAAACAGTCTTTGGAAATGTAGACAGGAAACTGTACCAGTTTTTGAAGTGAGAACGTGTTTGTTTTCACATATTAATATGTGAATCAGGTCTGGTGCAGTAAACGTCTGTGTGTGTAGCTGAATGCAGAAGTTTACCTGCCACAACAACCAGATGTAAGGTGGAGTTATGACGTCCTCTTCTGTTCTCAGCTTCACAGTAATATTTCCCACTGTGTTCAGCTCTGAACTCGGTGATGGTGAAGTTCTGTCCTGATGCTTTTGATGAGTCTTCGTTCTCCTTGTACCAGGTATAATTAGCTGCTGGGTTAGCATCACTGCTGCAGGTCAGAGTCACTGAACTGCCCTCCACTATTTCACCAGAGGGACTTGCTGACACAGAGGGAAGCTTTGAGGCATCTGGAAAAGATCAAATCAATGAACCAAATTGAGGATATATGTGTTGAAACGGGTAATAGTTATGTGTGTGGAAGCATCTGAAACTTTGGAGGTGGTTTTGTGACTGGCAGCAGGCAGAGCTGTGTGTTGGACCACTTGAGTTATATTCAACTTCCCTCATACATGTTTTAGGGTAAACAGAGGTAAGTTATACTTTTCTGCAGGTGACTGATGTCGATACTGTAGCTGCACGGGGTTAAAAAAAATTTGCCCTTCCCACAATTCAAACAATAATGCCATGAAACAAAATCCAAAAGAAAAAGTATTTTTGTTTCCAGCTAAATGTATTTGAAAAAAACAGAAGAAGACAGGGTTGATTAAAGATAGAAGCCTTTGGCCACCGCATGCGTAGTAGAAGTATAACCGCTCGGGAAAAACGCTTTTTAAACCTTATTTTGGGGCAAAGTTGTCAAAGTTTTTATGTCCCGGTGACCTCTATAAGTGCAGTTCTGGTTCTCTCCCCATTCATTCAGATAGGAACCTGGTCTTGTTAGTCGAAATAGCTGCCCGGAGGCGTTGCCAAGATGGCGGCCGAGTGGCAGGACCTGACCTTCAACATGAGCTTGAGCTTTAACAGTGCAGCATATTTTAATTAGACAATAATCCATGCAAACACAAAGTGGCGGTGCAGCTTGATTTCCTCCAACAGAAACTACATGGGTTCCTGTTGCCATGGATACAAGCTTGACACTTTGATACTATTAAGGGACAAGATGGTCAAATTAAGTCCACAAAACAAACCAAAACATAATCAGGGAACATCTATGACGATTGCCAAAGTCAGTTAATGTGCAGTACAACAGGTTAAAGGCTCCACCAGATGGTGTCATGTCAGTGGAAGACTGGATGTAAACTCACACACTGAAGGAGAGCGAGACTTCTCATTTCCTTGTACAGCACAGGAAACGCTGTCTGCAGGATCAAAGAAGCCTGAATAAGAATTAGATGTTTGTCCCCAAATACTCTGTCCATTCTTGTACCAGGTGTAGTAAGGATGACCAGGTAGACGACAACTGCTGTGACACTTCAGCTCTGCCCAGATATCAGACGTGTTGACCTGTAATCTGCTCACCTGCACCTGGAGATCTGATTATGTGAATAAGAAACAGAAGTCTTCATTTAGACTCAACTGTCAACACACAGACGCAGTTAATGATGATTAACACTTGGAAATATTCAGATGAAATGTTACCTGTGACAGACAGAGTGACTCCAGGTGAACCAGTATATGTCCCACCTGGTTGGTTTGTTATGAACCTGAACTTGTACTCAGCTGAGTCGCTCTCTCTCAGGTCTGTGATTCTCAGAGTTCAGCGGTTCTCATCACAGATATACTGATACAGATATACAAATTCACCACCTTTAAACCAGAATCTTTTCTCAATAGTAGTATAAACGTAATTAATATAGGATGGATATGTGTAGGTGCAGCTTATGTCCACAGTTGATCCTTTGAAGGCACAGATCTCAGTAGAAGTGTAAGTCACTCCCCAGCCATTCAGACTCTGTACCCCTGTAACACAGAGCACATCAGAACAAAAACCAAAATGAATCAGTTATTAAGACAAAGTAGATCAAACTTCTGATATGATTTGGGGAAAGGAAACCTGGACAAGCTTAATTATCTGACTGATTATCTGTAGTAATTCACATAAACAGTTCATAATCATGCATCTAACTAGAACTCACTGAATTTTATCATCATATTTTATCATCACTGGGACACAGGAACATTTGTTACTTTGGGTGTTGCCTGAAAAGTGCATCTTACAAAAGTCCTCAAAACAGGAAATGTATTAAAACAATATCATGCACACTTTTCTGAGACAGAGCAGAAGTTCAGTGTGATGTAAAATCCAGTTGTTCTGTATCATTCTTTTGCTTTCTAAGTTCTAACAAACACAATGTGAGCGGCTTGATTTCCTCTTGTATTAGAAACTACACGGTGTGCTGTTACCATGGATACTACATGGACACTTAATTACTGAAGAAGTAGAGTAAAGACACGCTGAAGGAGAGTCGTAATCTTCACGTATTTAAGAAGTTTCTTCCATTAATTTGTTAGACTGCACCTAGAACTGGAACTGGAAAATATAATTTTATCATGTGTTTATTTTACCATTGTTGGGACATTTGCATTCCTGGCTTATCGCACAGGTTATCAGAGAATGAATTGGTGGTTTATGGCTCAGCCGTTCTGTGGGGAGAAAAGAGTCAGATTGAGGCTGGAGGTGACCTGCTGGAGGGAGAAGGGGTCAGATCAGCCCCTTTTCCTGTCCTGTGGACTGTCTTTAGTGACACCTTTACGGCTAGAAAGGTTCACTAAGGCTCTCTGAATACACAATCCTTAAGCGATTCATTGTCTGATTGAGTCTCTTTCGGTCCTTACCAACACCAGGCGATGTCTCTGGGTTTTACATGTGAAAAAGGTAAACTCTCGGGAGGGAAACTTCCCTCCCTCTTTTGACACCATCTGACCTTCTTTGAAGTGCGTCTGGTTGAGTTCACAACAGTTTCTAGGAAGTTTGCATTTCACACAACTCTGATCCACTTATTTCCACATGTGACCTTCAGCCTACTTTTACAAGACCTACGTTTTCCCAGATTCCCCTCTTTTAATGTGATGAATGTGAGTTTAGATAAACATTACCTGACACAGAGAGAAGGAAGGCGACAAATCCTCTCGCTGCTGCAGGTAAACTCATAGCTGCTCCTCTCATCTCTGTGCGGCTTCACAGACAATAAAACATGTCAGCAGATCAAATAATGTACACAGGAGATGTTCAGTATCAGTCACATCAATAAACAACTCTACTTACGATGAAGAAGGACGCTGTCTTTAAAGAAGCCTTTCCTCTGTGGTCAGTAAGCAGTAGATGGATATCAGGCTGTTACCACTAGATTTCCTTCCTCTTTAGATCATTAATATTCATAAGCTTAATAGCAGTTAACACTCACGTCACAATAAAGTTGTGTGAAGTATAAACTTAATAAGACAGAATAAGAAAATAGTGCTGTGGCCTGTTGGTACTAAACCAGTTTGCTGCTTCCCACTGACACAAGAGAAAACCATTCAAAAAGAGA